ATTTTTTTTTTTATTTTATTTTTTACTATATTTTGGGGAATGGGGGAAGTAAGCTAGACCAAGGCAGTGGGTTTTTTGGTTGTTGATTTTTTTTTTCCTCTTTAATGTTTTCCCCTTCTTTATCCTTGAAAGCTTCGCCCTGCAGCCTGAGTTTTGAATACCTTTAAGAACTTGGATTAGTGGGACCAGAATGTCAAAAGCTCCCGGTAGCTCCTACTTGGAGAGAAGTGAGCCATCTACTGGTCAGGAAGCCCTGCAGCCGACTCAAGTGGGCAGCTCTTCCCACGATGGTGGCAAGAAACTATTTGTGGAAGAAGTAAGGAATGGTGCCCCCAGCTGCTGAGGAACTGCCTTTTAAGGAGGCTGGGGCTGGAAATCAGTTATGAAGCCTGTTCACTGTGTCTTTGTGTTGCACCTTTTTTTTAAATTGGAGTTGCAGAGGCCTCTGCCCTGAACTTCACAGTGAAACAAATCATAGTTGGTCTTACTCTTCTCCCTGCTCCCCATTTTTTATTTTGCTGTCTCACTGCTGACAGCATTCAACAGCAATATGCCCCATCTTTTTATATATCCTAAGAAACACTAATCCTAGGTTATTATTAGCCAAAATATTTTTGTTCCGAATAACATTGTTACTGGGCCAAAAGACCAGTCAGGAGCCTCCAGCCTGTAGTTTCCTGAAGTTGCCAAGTCAGACACAAGGGGGAGATTCCTGGGGAGTGACTGACTTGGGTGGACCTGGCCAGAAGAAAGGCAGCAACATGTGTTCTGTCCTTTCTGGGATGATCCCTGAAGTTTTCAGGGAGGCTACCCAACTTCTCAGTAGCTCAGCCTACCCATTGCTGTGGGAATGGGGATTGGTTATTTAAGGAGATGGAGCTTTGCTCTGAGTGGGCAAGTTTCCTAGGCTCTCTCTTTTGCCGCCCCACTGCCTCCTTGCATGTCCCAGGGGGATCAGGGATCCTCACCCTCCTGAGGCCCAGCTGGGAAAGAAAGAACATAGCACCTTCAAAATTAGTTGAAGTTGCTGTTTGCCCAGCTTCTTCTACCCCACCCACGTGTGTGAGCCCAGGTCTAGTGTGACTGTTGGGAGATGCTTTTAGCAAGGGACCCTGGAAGTGTGTCGGGCTGGGGTGGTGCACTGAGCGGTAGAGGTGGTGAGGGGTGAGGGAGCCATGCTGCTGAATTCTGGTTGGCATTCCCCCCTTGTGCAAGATGGGGAGGCTGGGGGTGGGGCAGCCTCTGCTTGGTTCGGTTGTGAGCTAAACCTGGAGAAGACAGTTATCCCGTTGAATTATTTGAGCAAAAAACTACTGTAAATAACTTTTGATTTTGTCTTTTGTCAAATAAAGTTTGTTTTTGGTTTTTGTTTTGTTTTTTAAAGCAGAAACAGATTGACCCACCATGACCCTGGGCCCAGCCTGGAGATAGGGCAATTGCTGAGTTCTTACTAGGCCTTATTGCTTTCCCCTCCCTCTAGTAGCCACCTGTAAGTGTTGTACGCCCTATGTCCTTATTTCCTTGGCTTCAGTCCTGTTCCATATCCCATTCATCACAGTGTGCAGGGAGCCTATGCATCCCAAGCTGAACCAGTCTTCCCTGGGATAGTCAGGCTTTGAGGTTGGTGAGTGGTGAGGGAACTTAGGGAGCTAGCAAATTTATCCTCCCCCTCAACCAGTGAGGAAAGCCCAGGACTGCAGTATGCCAGCACACACAAAAAGGCAGAGATGAAATGGATGCTCTAGTCATGTCTGAAAGTGGTACCACCTCTGGACTTCCCTATTATGTAAGCACTAAATTCCCCTTTTTTACTTAAGCTAGCTGTAGGTTTCATTTATTTCATAATGAAATGACTGTACACTTAATTGCAGCCCAAATGGTGCGAAATCAAGGACTGAAGCCGTAAAGGGTCTTGCTTTATGCCCGGGCCTACACAGTGTTCACAGTATTCATTATTGCTTTAATTTTTGTACACACATGAAAGAAGTGAGATGCCCTTTGCAGAGGTAAAGAAACTGGGGGTTGGTTAAGTTACTTGCCTGGACTGTATGTATACAGCCAGTATTAAATGCAGCTAGGATCTAAATTCAAGTCTGTCTTGCTTGAAGGTAACCCTGACATCTACCTGGACTTTATTTGAACTAGTGATGGGCAGTTCACTGCCTGCTGGCATTCAACTAACATGGTTTGGGCTAAGCACTAGAAGTATCTTCTAAAGAACTAAATCAGCTGCTTCCTGATTCCAGTAGACCTAGATGGAGTTACTGAATCTCTCACAGGTCACTCCCCTTTAGAAATTTGGAGATGATGCCCCCTGCCATTCATGATCCCCAGATTAAAGAGCCCCAGCTTGAGTTTATCCATTCATCCAAGAGCCTGGTTTTCCACTTCCTTCTCTCAGTGTCCCTCAAACTAGACACTTGGCCCTAGGGCTTGGCAGAATAGAAACATGCTGGAAGGGCTCTTCAAAATAAATTTAATGCTCATTTTCATCTGGAAAGTTAATATTAATATTCCCCTAAAAGGGGGAGTGGATGGTTTGACTGCCTTAGGAGAGATGGCTTCCTACACTTTTCAAAGTATTCCATTTTCAAAGAACTGAAACCAAAAGCATCTTGCACATCAAGCTTCAAATTGATAAACCCTGGAGTAAGCAAGCAGTAGAGAAAGTTGACAGGGACAACGCGGCTAGGACCTCTCTCCTCTGAAGCTAGAAATGTTGTCTAAAGACCTCTACCTTTCCTGTAACAGTCCCACTTAGAAAAAAGCTTTAAAATGCATTTCTGAGGTGGTGCACATTGACTCAGCTGGTTGAGCATCTAACTCTTGATTTTGGCTCAGGTCATGATCTCATGGTGCCTAAGTTCAAGCCCTGCGTCAGGCTCTACACTGGAGAATCCTGTTTGGGATTTTATCTCTCCCTCTCTACCTCTCCCCAGTTCATGTGCACGGGTGTATGCTCTCTCTCTCAAATAAATAAACTCAAAAAATAATTATAATTGCATTTCTAGGGGCACCTGGCTGGCTCAGTTAATGGAGCATGTGACTCTTGATCTTGGGGTCATGAGTTCTAGCCCTGTGCTGGGGGTAAGACTACTAAAAATAACAAAAATTAAAGTACACTCTAGTTTAGAAACTGCTAATGGGAAAACTCCAGAGGGGAGGGGCTTAGCCTGCCTTGGTGTGCTATAACCTCACTGTGTTAGCCACTGGAGCTGTAGAGAATAAGGTCTGGAATTCAGCGGGGATGTGGAAATAATCATCATTGCTCTCAATGCTACTGGTTTCCAAAGCACTTCTCTATAATCTAAACCTGCATTCCAATTCTGGCTCTATCACCTAACTAGCTGTCATGATCATAGGCCTCAATTTACCATTCCAAACTTCAGTTTCCACATCAATAAGACGGGCATAGTAATAATTACCTCTTAGGAGGATGAACTAGGATAATCCGTATTTGGGGAGTGAGTTAAAGATTTTATGGGTTTTTTTCCATGTTTGTTTATTTTTGAGAGACAGAGAGAGCGTGAGTGGTGGAGGGGCAAAGAAAGGGAGACACAGAATCCGAAACAGGCTCCAGGCTCTGAGCTGTCAGCAGCATAAAGCCTGATGTGGGGCTCAAACTCATGAACCATAAGATCATGACCTGAGCTGAAGTCAGATACTTAACTGACTGAGCCACCCAGGTGCCCCAAGATTTTATTTTTTTAAGTAATCTCTACAACCAATGTGGGACTCAAACTCACAACTCTGAGATCAAGAGTTGCACATTCCACCTACTGAGCCAGTCAGGCACCCCCCAAGATAGTATGTTTTTGTTACTGTATATTATTATTTGGCCTTTCAGCACAGGGCTGAGAGTAAAACAACTGTAAAAATAACTTGCCTCATACCACACAGCTTTTAAGTGGCAGAACTGGAAGTGCTTGGGTGGCTCAGTTGATTAAGCATCCAACTCTTGATCTCAGCTCACGTGTTGATCTCAGGGTTGTGAGTTCAAGCCTTGCGTTGGGCTCTATGCTGGACATGAAGCCTACTTTAAAAAAAAAGAAGAAAAAGTGGCAGAACTTGAACAAAGTACCCAGAGAAGTAATTCTCAAGCCTTAATATGTATGAAGATCATCACAGTCGTTGTGTCAGGAGAGCTTACAAAAATGCACATTCCCAGACCTCACCCCCAGAGAGTCCAGGAATCTGCACTCTTCACTTATGCCACAGGAGTCTCGTGCTGTTGCTTCAGAAACCTGATCATTTATAATCAGGACACTGACTTATCCCAAGGAAGCTGCTAGGTTAAGACAGCACCTTATCTTTCAAAGTTATAAGATGAGAGGAAGAAGGGTACACCAAGTAGTTTACCCCTCCCCTCACCAAACCATTTTACTTGCCCTCAGCTCCCAGGAGTCCATGGTAGCCTGAAGGTCAAGTGTAGCCTTCCTGAGATTATCATTTTAATTACATAAATAATCCACATTTACTGTAGAAAAAAAAATTTTAATGTTTGTTTATTTACTTTGAGAGAGAATGCATGTGCAAGCAGAGGGAAGGGCAGAGAGGGAGGGAGAAAGAGAATCCCAAGCAAGCTCTGTGCTCTCAATGCACAGCACAATGTGGGGCTCAAAATCGCCAACTGTGAGATCAGGACCTGAGCCAAACTCAAAAGTCATTTAACCAACTGAGCCACCTAGGTGCCCCTACTGTAGAAAAGTTTTAAACATAGAAGAGTTCAGTATAGTGGTTAAAAGCCCAGACAATTTTTGGAGGGAAACATGTAAAACGTTTAGTAATGTTTGGCACCTACTAAGAACCCAGTAAGTACTAGTAAAACATTTGCTGTAGGCAAAAAGAGATGTGGATACAAACTCAGACCTGTACTTCACAACGGATGCTCTTTCCACGGTTTGTGGTTTTTTCCCTGCAGGACTCTTCTGATTTCTGTGACTCCATCTGTCTGTCTAGGGCCCTCAATCTTACCCCTCAGAGCACACCTTCCTCTCCAAACCCTACTACAAGCAGCTAGTAGTGGTATAGAGGCATTCAGCTGAGAAGACATATTCATTCCCAAAACTGAGATCATGTGTTTAACTGGTGCTTTAAAAGGCAACCTCACAAAGGCAAAATCTGTCCTACTTCCAAATCTCTCTCCCACTTCCAAATCTGACTCTTCATCAAGTTCTTTTCCATCTTAGACCACCCAGGATGTTTATTTTAACCAGATGGATGCACTGGGATTCAGCCAGACTCCCCACTTCCTAAGATAAGGAAACCTTGGGTGAAAGCAAAAAGGGATCAAGTCTCAGTCCCATAAGTACCCTCTAGGCAAGGGCTCTCCAAGCTAGCTCCTAGTGTGGTTTTGTGGGCTCCTGCAAAGCTAAGAGGAACACAGATGAGGTTTCAGATGCCTATTGAACCTCTAACTTGCTGTATGACGCTGGGCTGGACTGGATCTGAGGACCCTTCCAAGTATAACTTTCTGGACATCCCCACCACCATGTAATCACAAACTTAATGAATCTCAGAGTTAAGAGCAGAGCTTCACAATATAATACAATAAGGCATAAAAAGAATTAACTCTTTTCTTGCAAAACATAAAGTTATCTCTTTGCAGATGATATGATCATATATAGAGAATCATATATAAAGACTCCAAAATAAAAAAAGAATAAATGGATTCAGCAAAGTTGCAGGATACAAAATCAGCACAGAAAAATCAGTTGTGGGGGCGCCTGGGTGGCTTAGTCGGTTAAGCGTCCTACTTCGGCTCAGGTCATGATCTCACGGTCCGTGAGTTCGAGCCCTGTGTCGGGCTCTGTGCTGACAGCTCAGAGCCTGGAGCCTGTTTCAGATTCTGTGTCTCCCTCTCTCTCTGCCCCTCCCCTGTTCATGCTCTGTCTCTCTCTGTCTCAAAAATAAATAAACGTTAAAAAAAAAAGAGTCTCTTATTAAAAAAAAAAAAAAAAAAAAAGAAAAATCAGTTGTGTTTCTATACACAACCCAAAAGGGAAATTAAAAAACCAATTTATAATAGCATCAAAAAAGAATAAAATAGTTAAGAATTAACCAAAGTGAGACTCATACACTGAAAACTATAAAACAGTGCTGAGTGAAATTAAGGAAGATAAAAATAAATGGAAAATATCTCATGTTCATGAATTGGAAGACTTACCTACTACAGATTCACAACAATCTCTATCAAAATATCAATGACTTTTTTTTTTTGAGTGGGCTCCACACCCAACTTAGGGCTTGAACTCCTGACTCCAAGATCAAAAGTCACATGCTCTACCACTGCGCCAGCCAGGTGCCTCCAAAATTAAAAACTTTTGTGTATCAATTGACTCTACTATCAACAGAGTAAAAAGGCAACCCACAAAATAGAAAATATTTGCAAATTACATAAGGGATAAGGGATTAATATCCAGAATACATATATTAATATCCAGAATATCAAGAACTCCTACAACTCAACAACAAAAAACATAAGTGACTAGACTCAAAAACCGGGTAAGGGTCTAGAATAGACATTTTTCCAAAGATACACAAAAATGGGCACACGAAAAGATGCTCAACATCACTAATCATTAGGGAAATGCAAATAAAAATCACAACGAGATACCACTTCACATCCATTAGGTTGACTATTATTAAAAAAAAACACACAGTGGGTACCTGGGTGGCTCAGTAAGTTAAGCATCTGACTTCAGCTCAGGTCATGATCTCACGATCTGTGAGTTTGAGCCCCGCGTCGGGCTCTCTGCTGTCAGTTCAGAGCCTGGAGCCTTCTTCAGATTCTGTGCCTCCCTCTCTCTCTGCCCCTCCCCCACTCACGCTCTGTCTCTCAAAATATGAATAAACATTAAAAAAATTTTGTTTCTAAAAACACAGAAAACAAGTATGGACGGGAACGTGGAGAAATTGGAACTCTTGTGCACTGTAGGTAGAAATGCAAAATGGTGTAGCCACCCAGGAACCCCAGGAAACCTCATTTAAAGTGGAGTTGGGGGGCGCTTGGCTGACTCAATAGGTGGAGTGTGCAACTCTTGTTTGATCTCAGGAGCTTGTGAGTTCAAGCTCCACATTAGATGTACAGATTACTTAAAAAGTGAATTAATTAATTAATTAATTAATGTACAGATGACTTAAAAAATTAGTAACTAACTAAATAATGGAACTGGGAGGCCTGCAGGAGGAGCTCTCACACCCTATCAGTCCTCATCAACTGCAGACCCCAACAGAGACATACCTTGCATTCAAGGAGAGAGAGACTGTTACAACTTGCAGCCAATGAAAAAACACTATACTTGAAACTCTTAACCTACTCTACCAGACTTTTTTGTTTATAAAAGCCCCTCCCAACTTCCTTTCCTTTAGTCTATAAAATCAAGTTTCTCTCCTTTGTTTTCTGTACTTGCCTTTGGTTTTGCTGTAGTCTGCATGTCCAAACTGCAATACTCTGCTATTCCTAAATAAACTCATTTTTCCTGGTAAAATAAGTAACAGTTTTATTTTTAAGGTTAGCAATATATACAATGAACATCTAACAAACATGTAACAGTTATTATTCAGCCTTAAAAAGGAAGAAAATTTGGGGGTGCCTGGGTGACTCAATCAGTTGAGCATCAGACTCTTGATTTTGGCTCAGGTCATGATCTCTCAGGTTCATGGGATCCCGCATTGAGCCCACATCCAGCTCTGTGCTGACATCAGGGAGCCTGCTTGGGATTCTCTCTCTCTCCCTCCCTCTGCCCTCCCCCGCCACCCTGCAAATAAATGAATAAGTTTTTTTAAAAAAGAAAGAAAAAAGGAAGGAAATTCTGACACATGCTACAACATGGATGAATCCTGAAGACAGTATGCTAACTGAAATAAACCAATCAGAAAAGGGCACTGTGTGACTCTAATCTTACAGAAGTACTTAGTCAAATTTAGGGACAGAAAGTAGAGGAGTCGTTGGGGACCAGGGTAAAGAGAGAATGGGGAGTTAACAGTTTCCTGGGTACAAAACTTTCAGTTTTGCAAGATGAAAGAGTTCTGAAAATGGATGGTGGTGACAGCTGCACAATAAAGTAAATGTACTTCACTGTGCCAGCAAACTATACACTTAGGAATGGTACATTTTGTTATGTACATTTTACAGCAAGTAAAAAAAAAAATACGTTTAAAAAAGAGTTAACAGGGTGCCTGAGTGACTCTGTTGGTTAAGCATATGACTTTGGCTCAGCTCACGGTTTCATGATTCATGAGTTCAAGCCCCTCACTGGGCTGACTTCTGTCAACACAGAGCCCACTTTGGATCCTTTTGTCCCTGTCTCTATCTGCCCCTCCCCTGCTCATGTTCTTCTGTCTCTCAAAAATAAGTAAACATTTTTTAAAACAGAATTAACTGTTTTATTCCAATTTTCTCCATTTTCAGTGCCCTACCATATCCCCTGAGTAACTTTAACAGTCTAAACTAGTCTCCCACTCTGATCCTGTCCTCCTAATAGCAGCCAGAACGATCTTGCTGAGATACCAATCTGAAAAGTTAAGTGTCCCTGTTCAAATCCTTTATGTGACTTCCTCCATCCTTGGGATAAAAAAAATTTATTCATGGTCATCATAAAAAAGATAAGAGATATGGGGCACCTGGGTGGCGCAGTCGGTTAAGCGTCTGACTTCAGCCAGGTCACGATCTCGCGGTCCGGGAGTTCGAGCCCCGCGTCAGGCTCTGGGCTGATGGCTCGGAGCCTGTTTCCGATTCTGTGTCTCCCTCTCTCTCTGCCCCTCCCCTGTTCATGCTCTGTCTCTGTCTGTCCCAAAAATAAATAAAAATGTTGAAAAAAAATTAAAAAAAGAAAAAAAAAGATAAGAGATAACAAATGCTGATGTGGATGTGGAGAAAAGTGAATCCTTGTCTGCTGTTGGTGGGAATTTAAATTGGTGCAGCCACTAAGGAAAACAGTATGAAGGATCCTCAAAAAATTAAAAGTAGAACTACCATATGATCCAGCAATTCCACTTCTGGGAATATACAATACTAAGAAATAAGGAAATACAAACACTAACTCAAAAAGATATCTGTGCCCTTATATTCATAGCAGCATTATTTACAATAGCCAAGGCATGGAAACAACCTAAGTGTCCATCAACGAATGAATGGATAAAGAAGTTGTGGTATACGCATCACGGAATATTATTCATCCACAAAAGAACAAGTCCGACTATTTTTGACAACATGTATAGACTTTGTATTATCCTAAGTGAAATAAGTCAGATGAAGAAAGAAAAACACTTTATGATCTCACTTACATGTGGAATCTTAAAAAACAAATTCACAGAAAAAGAGCTCAGACTTGTGGTTACCAGAGGGAGAAATGGAGGAAGGTGGTTAAAAGATACAAGTTTCCAGTTGAGATAAATAAGTAGTAGAGATATAATATACAACATGATGACTATAGTTAACAATGATGTATTGATATATAGGAAAATTAAGAATAAATCCTGAGGCACCTTGGTGGCTCAGTCAGTTAAGCATCCGACTCTTGCTTTTGGTTCAGGTCCCCATCTCACAGTGGTGAGATCAAGCCATACCCATTGAAGAGCCTGCTTGGGATTCTCTCTCCCTCTTCCTCTGCCCCTCTCCCTCCCCTACTCTTGCTCTCTCTCAAAAAAATAAATAAATACATAAATAAATAAATAAATAAATAAATAAATAAAAATAGAAAAGAATAAATCCTAAGAGTTCTCCTCATAAAGAAAAATTGCATAATTTTCTTCTTTCTTTTCATTGTATCCATATGAGAAGATGGGAGATTAACTGAACCTATTGTAATGATCATTTTGCAATATATGTAAATCAAATCATCATGCTATAGGCCTTAAACTTACACAGTGATGCATGTCAATTATTTTTCAATAAAACTGGAAAAAACAAAAACAAATTCTTCAGCATACCCTTCCCACTCCTTCCCAACTTGTGGTTTCTCTACCATTAACTGACATGGTTTCATCTCCTGGAACGCTCTCTTCCTTTCCCTTTTCCCCTTAACTCCTCCTACTCTTCCTTCAGAACTCAGTTTTTCCCAACCCATTACAAACCTTTACCACCAGGCCCAGCAGACTGAAAACTTACCTGTCTTGGACTGTGGGCTAGGTATTCTTCCGACATTCTGTGACAGAATGATCAGTTTGTCTCCAGCACTACATGCCCCCAGGGAATCTGTAAAAGAGATTTTATACCAATGGTACACTTCCAGTGAGCTGGTTAGGATTTACCATAGTTTTGCATATGGAGGGAAAATGGTTCAGAAAAAAGGCAGGGCTGAAAAGAACCAAATCCAGGTGAAAGTTAGAGGACTAAAGGTGTGCACCCATGTCAGGTATACAGCCCTCTCGCCAGGTCCAGATAGAGTAATGTCTGCTGCCGTGTATATCACCTTTGGGGTCCAGCCTCACTCAACCTATTGAAAGAGGATCTTGAAATCGAGTTGTGGTTGAAAACCACAATTCTGAAGAAGTTCCCTAAGAGATTCTGTTTCTCACCTAAGGTGGAGAACGACCCATCAATGTTGGTTATACAAAGGATGTTCTGACCTCATTTGACACTGAAAGCTAAAGGTTAAGAGCACAAATTTTGAAGTCTGACAGGCCCAGTACTAGTTGAGTGATTCTGGGCAAGTTAGTTTGCCTCTATTAACCCACCACACAAAAGTGATGTGTCTCGGTCTCAACTTATTACAAAGCACAGTGAACATGGCACCACCTGGAGGGCTTATTAAAATGCTGATTATGGGCCCCACTCACACAATTTCTGGTTCCGCAATTCTGGGATGGGGCCTGAGAATGTGCATCTCTAATCAAGTTCCTAGGTGATGTGGCTGCTGGTGGTCCAGACACACACTTTGTGAACCACTGACCTAGCACACAGAGAGGACACAATATTTAGCATACTGAATAGTCAGATATTCTGATAGCTAGTAAGAACTTTCTAGACTCCCACCAAGCTTCTCCCTGCCCCAGGAGTCCTCAGCCGGTTGCAACTTGCCACTTAGCCTGAGAAAATCCCTCTCAAGGCTTCCATTTGCCGAAAGAGGGTGCTGGGCCACGATGAGACGCTAAATACAGAAGACAGTTTACATCCTGAGCAGCGGGGCTCCCGGGGAGCCGGTTTTGGCCTCCAAAGGACGCCTCCAGGAAAACAGGGCCGCGTTCTGTCCCGCTGCTCTAGGGAAAGGCTGGGCGACGCCCGAGTCTAACCTCGCCTCTTTGCCCAAATGCCGTTCCTCAGTCTCCACAGCGCCTCCTCGCGTTCGCGTTCACCGTCCCCACCTAGATTGTCCCTTCCCTCTCACCCTACCGTGCGCCTAGCGGAAGCCGACGTCACTTCCGTCACGCGTAGCGCGCTTGCGCCGAAGCGACGGCTCCTCTCTTCCGACAGACGGCTGCACTACCACCGATTGGCTGCGTGGTGTTCGTCTGCGGGTGGACGCGCGGCGCTGCGTGGCTCCTCCCCCACCGCCGCGCCAGGTCTTGGCTGAGTGAGCGAGCAGAGCCGGCGTCCTGGCCAAGTGAGGACGGCCGCAGCGCGCCGCCAAACCCAGTCGCTGGTTCTGTCGCTGCCACCGCCGCCCCGCGCGCCGTGACCCGAGACCCCAGACCCCGACTCCTTTTGGCCTGGCCCGCGCGCCCCAGGCCCGGCCCGGGCGGCGCGACGGGAGGATGAGCGGCGGGCGGCGAAAGGAGGAGCCGCCTCAGCCGCAGCTGGCCAACGGGGCCCTCAAAGTCTCTGTTTGGAGCAAGGTGCTGCGGAGCGACGCGGCCTGGGAGGACAAGGTGCGGTGCGACGTGGCGAGGGCGCAGGTTCGAGGCTGGGACTCGGGGCCGAATGGACAGGCCCGAGCCTGCCCCTGTCTCCGGTCCGGGCGCGGCTGAGTGTTTGGGGTGTTGCGCAACGGGGAGCGGGTGGCCCAAGGGTGTCGGGGCGAACTTGGCGGGCCAGGGCCTGACAGCCGGGCTCGGAACTCACCGCGGAGTGGTTTAAGGGTGAAGCCGCCTGGGTCACGCGGGAAACAGCGGAGTTGCCACCCGCGGGCAGGGCGTGTGCCTGAATGGCGAGAGTGAGCTGAATTCGATCTCCGCCTTTACTCCCAGTAGGATCTTCAGTAAGTGGCTTGTCTTCTCCGAATTAACTAAATATGGTCGTTACCACGAATAGTAACGGTAACAGTCCTCTACTAAATATTTTCTGCCGGGTGCCCTCCATGCATTATCTCCCTCAATTCTCAGAACAGCTCTGAAGCGGGTACCGTGGTGCATTAAAGCGTTTAGCACGTAATAAGGCCTATTGCCATTGCTTTTTTTATTAATGAGAAAAACTGAATGCCTGCATAATTGTGAGAGAGGAGACTAAGACCACTTCTCAGAGGTGAGTGTGTGTGTGTGTGTGTGTGTGTGTGTGTGTGTGAGAGAGAGAGAGAAAGAGAGGGAGAGGGATAGAGGGGGAAACCGCCAAATAAATGTGTGTGAGGAATGGTTGGGGCTTCAAGATATTTTCACTGGTCACACACTTTCAAAAGATCTGAGTTTAGGTACTCCCCAACTCTGCTTCTTGATCAGGAAGGGACCATCACAAACAGCTTGATTCCAGTTGGCCTGAAAAGTATATTATATTTACAATCTTTCCCTTATTTTTCTGGACTGATGAGGCGGGTTTTCCTTCCTGGAGTTCCTGTAAGGGGGGATGGGAGGTACTTCCTGAAGGTGCCCTTGTCCTGCCCCCAGCCCTGCCCAGCTCTTGTAAAACGTTTCTGATCTGCTGTGTCATTTCTTTCGTTCCTTGTACAAGGACCGGTTTCTGCAGTCTGGGGCAGGTCAGAAACCTGAGTCTTCAACGTCCTTGTATGAAAATTGGATATGCTGGCACCTGCCTTTAGCACTTTTGTTTCCAACCCTTCTTTGTGACTTAGAATTCAGGGTGCAGGAAGATGGTGCTGAGTAGATTAACAATTAGCCCGTCTGCCTGTGAATAGTCTGTCTAGGTCTCTCCTCCAAGGATCAGATAAGAGTTTTCTGTGGCCAGTAGGACAGTTACCACAGCCATTTCATCACAAGCCATTTCATTTTTTTAAGCTTCTAAAAATAGTAATTTTTCTAAAAATTTTTTTTAGCACACAGGCCCTGGAATTCATCACTTAAAATAACTAAATGTATTCTTTTTTTAAAAAACCATGTTTTAGTATAAGAGGTGAAGATCAGAAAACTGCATACCATTCCTCTTGGAGAAATGTCTCCAGAAGATATGTTTAGCAGCAAGCTTTTTTATTTCTCACCTATTACAGAAGGCTCTCATGTGGCACCCACTAAGAACACATAACACATTCATTCTCTTTCTTTTCTACAGGATGAATTTTTAGATGTGATCTACTGGTTCCGACAGATCATTGCTGTGGTCCTAGGTGTAATTTGGGGAGTGTTACCTTTGCGAGGTTTCTTGGGAATAGCAGGGTAAGTCTTGGCTGGGTATCTTGGCATTTTCATTGTATCTTTTGTTTTCTTAAGTCTATTTATTTTGAGAGAAAGCACAAGTTGGGGAAGGGCAGAGAGGGGCGCTGTGGGCACAGAGCCTGACATGGGGCTTGACCCCGTGAACCAGGAGATTATGACCTGACCTGAAATTAAGAGTCAGATGCATGACTGACTGAGCCACCGAGGTGTCCCTTCATGACATGATTTCTTTTCAAATATAGATTTGTCTCCTTTTTAGGGAAAAGGCTATTGCTACTTTGGAGGTGTGTTTTTGTTTTTGTTTTATAATGACTATGTGTGAGGTGACAAAAGCAAAAAAAAATGGCCCCATGATGGCACTCATAGGTCTAGTGCAACACTCCTCAGTTTAGTAGGCCTGGGATCATCTTAATTTAGATATGTTACCTTTCTGAAGGCTGGACCAGTCCATTCATTCATGGGTCCAAAGTGATCACACAAGAGGCTACTGCATTACCTGTTGGTGGCAAGTTTCTAGTTCTGGCATGACCTTTGTACCTATGGAAATTTGGAAGGTAGACGAATTTCTGTACTTGATGACCACTCCCTTGTACCTGGCACTGCGCTGGATGTCCTGGATCTTGGCTTTGGCAGCAGTTGTTTCAGATCCTTACTTTTAAGTTGTTTTTTTTTAATAATTTTTTATTTATATCTCAGAGAGAGAGGGCGGGGAACACAAGCGGGAGAGGGGCAGAGAGACGGAGATAGAATCTGAAGCAGGATCTGAGTTGCGAGCTATCAGCACAGAGTTCGACATGGGGCATGTCAGGAGCAGTGAGATCATGACCTGAACCAAAGTTGGACGCTTAACCGACTGAGCCACCCAGGTGCCCCTCAGATCCTTACTTTTTAAAGGTAGTGAAAAAGGAGGAGGTTGGGCCCTCCACCTTTTACTGTGCTCCTGTGACCACTGGCAGCGCGCCTGACACTGCCCGTGGTCTTGACTCAGCCTGTTAACAAGCCACTGAAAGTGATGAGTACACATGCCCGCCAGCTTGAATTAAAAGGATGTGTGGGAGTTGTCTGAAGATAGGAATTGTGGGTAAGCTGTAGTAGGAAATGGATGGGTAGGACTGTGAGCTTTTTTTTTTTTCACACAGGAAGTAGAAGCTGTGATCCTTACTCATGGAAAATCACACTGGTTGTTTTAGAGGTGATCACATCTCTTAATCCCTCATCCTAGGTGAAAAGGATGAAACAGATTTCAAACTCATTTGAGTTCCTTGTCTTTTCAGAAGATGACCCAAAAGGAATGTACATTCTCCTCTTCTAACTAAGAAGGTTTTTGATTCATGATACTGAGCACAGCATTTGTCCAAGGAAAGGAGTTAAGAGTTTATGTTATGCTCTGCCTAACTTTGCTGGAGTGGACACCTGATGAGTTCGGAGTGAGGGTGAGGAGACACAGGATCTAGGGTTCATAGGGATTTTCCCAGATTAGAGGAGGTATATAGATACACGTCATCCCATTTGAGCTTTCTGTCAAAGAAAAGGCAGTGAAGATAAAAGGCCAGAGCAAGGGGGAAGGCAGTCTAAAGGCAAGAAGTCTCTCACCTTCCCAAGGCCACTTTTCTAGGAGAGGATAAAAGTGGTTCAGATTCTTTGCCCCTATCTAGTTTTGCAGGATTCCTAAGAGATTTCTCTGAAGTCACCCAATCTGGGAATATAACAAAGACCAGAGTTAGTCTAGTATCCTTTTCACTGTGGCAGATGAGTTAAGCTGATCAGAGGTCTCTAACTGTAGAAAGTAATGTATTCAGGTTCTAGCTCTGCTACATTCAAGCTGTATAATTTTGGTCTCACCTCTCAGACTCCATTCTCTCATCATTAAGAGGGGGTAATAAAAGTCTCTTCCTCATAAGAATGATGTGTAAACTAAATGAGGTCATGCAAGTAAATTCCTAAATGTACTGCTTAGTACATCACACGCACTCCATAAATGGTTCACTGCAATCTTATGATTAGCTTTACAAAGTGCTAAAAATGGCTGCTGAGAAAAAAGGAAAGTAGGTGTTTGAGAATGAATTCACCTTGGAGTGGCTCACCCATAGTGCCGCTTTCTCAGGACTGCCTGTTTCATGGGGTTCAGTCCCATGCTGTCCTGCCAGAGCCAGTTTCTCTCACTCTAAACGAATCCCCCCCGCCTTGGTTGGCACCTTTTTCCTTGCTCTTGGAAAGGGACCAAGGACATTGATTTTTCCACACATTCCCTCTCTTCCATCTGTCTGACGCAGTTGCCAGGGCTTAGGGCAGGACTGCTTTGGTGCTCCATTCTGGTGACCCTCTCCTCCACTTCTTGCCTTAACTGCCCTCTGGACCCCACCTTGGCTTCTCTTCATTTCTGGTGTGGCCACCAGTTAGGGCACATTAAGGTAAAACCATTTCCTCTGTTCTTATTATAATTTGCCTGAGAACTGAATGAGCATTCTGCTGTTGCTGAGGTTTTGCATCATCTGAGAGGAGCACTATCCATCCCTTCCTACCTGTCTCTTATAGAGCCTGGCATCACGATTAATAGGTGCTCAATGAATGCTTCTTACAATTTTTTAAAAACAAATTAATTCCCACTAGTCCTTGAAAGCAGGGTCATATGTTACTATTGTTGTTGTGTAGCCTCCCAGCCCTCAAGTCGAGTATTTCTTAGAGATCATTATTTTGTTAAAATTCTGATGGGAATTTTTAGGATAGAGTTTTAAAAATGCATTGAGTGTTGTCTTTATAATGTTTTCCCTCCACCCCCAAACCAGATTAATTTTTTTTCTACACATCTGCTGTGTAGTTCCGTCCCTCATTTACAATATAGGATTATGC